GCGAATGGTGGCCTCGTATATCTCCCTCCTCTCGCCCTGCGCAATATTGTTTTTAGCATTCGCGCCGTATCTCTCATGCAGCTGATCCGTTCTGCGCCGCGTCACTGTGTGTAGTGCGCTTAGGGCTCCTGCTTCGCGCGATGCAATGTCACGCTTGTCCGCCCTCCCCCCCGCTCCTCCCCCCTCCTCCTCTCCCTGCCCCTCCTCCTCCTCCTCCTCCTCCTCCTCCTCCTCCTCCTCCTCCACCTCCTCCACGCCCCAGAAATCCGAATGAACACATGGTTTGCGAAGCAAGGGGGCGGGAAACCCTGTGATTTCATGTTGATGTTTTTGGATTTCTGGGATGAGAACAACAAAACACATACGACTTCCTTTGGATTGTAGGGATTTGGGGGTTTGGGGACTTTGGAAAAGACGCCACAGCCTTCGAAGGCCTTGGCCGCAGGAGCCCGAATGAAGCCCAGGGGTGCCAAATCCCACAAAAAAATCAAACATCCAAATGACATCGCAGGGTTTCCTTGGTTCTCATCCCAGAAATCCCGAACACCCCCATGACGCCACAGGGTTTGCGACGCAAGGGGGCGCAAAACCTTGCGATTTGATTTGGGTGTTTGGGATTCGGGCTGCAGCGTTGATCTTCGTTCGGAGGCGCCAAATCCCAAACATCCCAAACATCCAAGTGAAATCGTGTGGCTCTTGTGATTCTCATCCCACACATCCCAGAAACCCAAATGAAATCATAGGGTTTGGTTGCTCCTCGTGCGTGCAGGATGGTCCCTGCACGCTTTGGGTTTCCTCATCGGGGGAAGGCGCCTGGTGCATGTTCTACAGTGCGCCGCAGTTGGGTTCGCTTGCGAGTGGAGTCGGCAAAAAAAGGCTTCCGTTGACGCCAGGGGAAGAGGTGAACGAGGAAGGGGGACGGGGACGGAAGGGGAGTGTAGCAAGGAAGGGAATGGAAAGGAATACGATTGTATAACATCACCAAGAGAAAAGGAAGCGAGGAATGGGTGCTGGGGGGGGGGGGGGGGGGGGGGGGGGAGGGGGCTGACCACATATATATATATATATATGTATATGTATATATATGTTTATATAAAGATATGTATCCACATACGTATATGCATATTCTATATTTAACGTATGTGTAGTTGGATGTATGTGTACATTTGTTCGTATCTATATACATATACGTATATGAACCGTGCGCGGCTATGTGTTTGTCTGTGTATATGCATATCTATATATACATACATACATATATACATGCGCATATATATATATACATATATATATATATATACATATATGCACATAAATGTTTGTGGGTATGTACATGTAGATGTATACATTTTTGACAGCGAAGAACAGCCGAACCGTAGCCTTTGGGGGCTATATGGCTATGGGGCTATTGGGCTACAGGGCTATGGGGCTATGGGGCTATAGGGCTTTAGAACTATGGGTTTATAGGGCTACAAAGCTATAGGGCTATAGGGCTGGAGGGCTATGGGGCTATAGGGCTATGGGGTTGTAGGGCCATCGGGCTATAGGTTTATCCGTAAGGGCTTCGCCCCCTGCCGCCGGCCCCCTCTCTCGGAGAATGGGCCATGGAAAAGCTAAGTCATGAGGCTTTGGCGCTGTCGTGCAGCAGTATCGGAACTTCATGCGAGGCCGATTCGCAATCGGCAAAACCAACTGATCACAAGAGGGGTTACCACACACGGCGATTGGTAAGACGTGTATGGTCTACGAGCTTGGTTACCACACTTTGGTATTTAAGGGCCGAGGGAGTACTCGCAGTTTGGGTTACCACGCCTTGCGATGGATGTGCGTGAGGGGTGGCACCGAATTTCAGAAATGTGGCAAATCCCCCGTGTTTTTGGACCCTGACCCCGCGGATCTGCGTGAGGGGTGGCACCGAATTTCAGAAATGTGGCAAATCCCTGTGTTTTTGGACCCTGACCCCGCGGATCTGCGTGAGGGGTGGCACCGAGTTTCAGAAATGTGGCAAATCCCTTGTGTTTTTGGACCCTGACCCCGCGGATCTGCGTAAGGGGTGGCACCGAATTTCAGAAATGTGGCAAATCCCTTGTGTTTTTGGACCCTGACTCCGCGGATCTGCGTGAGGGGTGGCACCGAATTTTAGAAATGTAGCAAATCCCCTGTGTTTTTGGACCCTGACCCCGCGGATCTGCGTGAGGGGTGGCACCGGATTTCAGAAATGTGGCAAATCCCCTGTGTTTTTGGACCCTGACCCCGCGGATCTGCGTGAGGGGTGGCACCGAATTTCAGAAATGTGGCAAATCCCCTGTGTTTTTGGACCCTGACCCCGCGGATCTGCGTGAGGGGTGGCACCGAATTTCAGAAATGTGGCAAATCCTGTGTTTTTGGACCCTGACCCCGCGGATGTGCGTGAGGGGTGGCACAGAATTTCAGAAATGTGGCAAATCCTGTGTGTTTTTGGACCCTGACCCCGCGGATCTGCGTGAGGGGTGGCACCGAATTTCAGAAATGTGGCAAATCCCTTGTGTTTTTGGACCCTGACCCCGCGGATCTGCGTGAGGGGTGTCGATTTCGAGCCCCCCCAGCAATTCAGACAACACGCCCAGGGGGTGCTAAGAAATCCCGTTTGGGCCTCCCCCCCCCTCGCGCGGTCAATCAACTAGTTACAGTAACCAGCAAGAAGCAGAACCTTAACACTGGAAACTACAAGCTACAACTGGTACAGGAAACTGCGAATCCGCGCCTACAGCCTGGTGGCCCCACAAGGGGGCCGGCGGATAGGGCTATGGGGCTATAGGGCTACAGGGCTATGGGCCCCTATGGCTATAAGGCTATAGGGCTGTAGGCCTATAAGGCTATCGGAGGTTGGGGGGTGAGATCGCAGTGGAACGGAGACCCCAAACCGGGACATCTTTTCGTTTCGTTCGTGTCGTGCAGGCGGGCGACGCGAATCTGCGTGGGCGCGTGAGAAACATGAACCCGCCGTTGCTAGGGCGGAGTCAAGACAAATGATTATCCCCCGCCCGCCCGTCTGGCGGTGGCTCGCGGTGTCCCGCGGTGTCCCGTGGTGTCCCGTGGTGTCCCGTGGTGTCCGCCGTTGCTAGGGCGAAGCCAAGACAAATGATTCTCCCCCGCCCGCCCGTCCGTCTGGCGGTGGCTCGCGGTGTCCCGCGGTGTCCCGTGGTGTCCCGTGGTGTCCCGTGGTGTCCCGTGGTGTCCGCCGTTGCTAGGGCGAAGTCAAGACAAATGATTCTCCCCCGCCCGCCGGTCCGTCCGTCCGTCCGGCGGTGGCTCGCGGTGTCCTGCGGTGTCCCGTGGTGTCCCGTGGTGTCCCGTGGTATCCCGTGGTGTCCCGTTGAGTGAGATCGATCGTGAGATCGATCGTGAGATCGATAATGTGATTTGATAGCAAGATCGATACTGGGATCGATACTGAGATCGATGTGGTGCCCCGAGATTTCCCGTGGTGTATTTTGGTGTCCCGTTGAGTGAGATCGATCGTGAGATCGATGGTGGGATTTGATAGTGAGATCGAGAGGTGTCCCGCTCTGTCCCGTGGTGTCCCGTGGTGGCCCGTGGTGTCCCGTGGTGTCCCGTTGAGTGAGATCGATAGTGAGATCGGTAGTGAGATCGACAAGTGTCCCGTGGTGTCCCGCGGTGTCCTGGAAAGTGAGATCGATAGTGAGATCGATTGAGTCAGATGTTGGTTCCCCCCCCCATCCCCCCCCCCACAACCTCTTTATCACCCGAAGGGTGGTCGAATAGGTAAGGCTATCCGGCTATAGGGCTATAGGGCTACAGGGTTGTAGGGTTACATGGCTATAAGGCTTGGGGCTCTAGGGCTATAGGGCTGTAGGGCTATGGGGCTATAGGCTATGGGGCTACAGGGCTATAGGGCCGCAGGGCCACAGGGCTATAGGGCCGTAGGGCTATGGGGCGATGGGGCCCTGGGGCTCTGGGTCTATGGGGCCATAGGGCTCTAGGGCTATAGGGCTATAGGGCTATAGGGCTATGGGGCCATGGCGCTATGAAGCTATGGGGCTCTGCGGTTATAGGGCTATAGGGCTATAAGGCTATCAAGCTATAGGGCTATAGGGGCTATTGGGCTATAGGGCTACAGGGTTCTAGGGCTATAGGGTTATGGAGCTATAGAGCTATAGGGCTATCGAGCTATAGGGCTATAGGGCTATAGGGGTATAGGGCTATAGGTCTATAGTGCTATAGGGCTATGGGGCTATAAGGCACCCGGACACCCGGGCGGGCCGCGGAAATCGGTGAGACACCTCACCTACCCATATGAATCCGCCAGGGCCCCTACAGAGGCAAGCTCTGACAGGGGATATGTATATATGTATGCATGTACATGTACGTGTATATGTATGTGTACATGAGTATGTCCATGCATATGTAGATGTGCATGTACATGAAACTGTATGTGTACATATACATTCATATGTAGATGCCTGGATATATGTATGTCTTCGTGCATATGTTTCTGTACATCTATAGGTGTACGTACTTGCTTGTGCATATGTATACGTGCATGTGTGTAGATATATGTATACTCACATGTGTATGCGTGTATATGTGTATGTGTATATGTAAGGGTCGTATGTGTATATGTATGTGTATGTGTATGTGTATGTACCTGTATATGTATACATGCATACACATGTATATGTGTATGTGCGTGTAGCTGTGTACGCTTATGTGCACCATATATGTGTACATGTATATGTGTATGTTTATGGATACAATATGTATGCGCACATGTGTGTTACTATGTATGTGCGCATGTGTATGTGTACGCACATGTATGTGTATACGTATTTAGAGAGGTATATGTATGTGTACACGTATCTGTTCACGTTTATGTATAGGTACATGAATATGTGTATGGGCATGTGTATGTTTAGGTATACTCATATGCACATGTATGTGCATGTGTATATGTGTATGTGTGTGTGTTTGTGCATGTGTACACAAGCTTGTTCGCCCAGGTGCCGTGCAGACCCCCCCGCCACGGGTTGCCGCCCTGCCGTCCCTGGAGTCGGGGGACTCCGTGCCGGGTGACTTCCGCAGCGAGCGGCACGGCCCCACGTCCCGCCCAGGAAAGATCGCTTCGCGCGGCGGCCCGCGCCCGGTGAAGCAGTCGAACACGGGGCAGCTGTCCGTGGCAGCGCAGAGGAAAAAACTGCACAAACCTGAACTTTCAGAGCTCCGTATGGATTTACTGGATCTGCGCCGGGGACCCATCTGGCGGCGCCTCCGAGAGGCCCGCACTTTTTAAAAGGCTAAAGCGCAACGTTTTCTACGAAACTTTTCCTGTACGTTTCTGGCAGTTTTTACAGATCTCTCCTTTACGAGCTTCTGACGGCTTTAGATGGCCCATGAGGCCTCAAAGGTCGCCCCAACACGGCCCAACAGCCCCCTGGCGCGCTCCTGGGGGCCGAGCGCCGATCCCACAGAACTCTGCGCGGACCTGCGCAAGGTTATGCCGTCGGGAACTTTGGCTTAGCGTGTCGCGCCGCCCGTTCTGGCCCGCCAGGCCTTGGTGCGACACCCTGACCACGCTCTGCCCTCTGAACGTCAACGTCCCGAGCCGTCGAAGCTTCCGCCCAGCGGAATGGAAATCCATGCTATGAGCTCGCAGGGCATAGAGTGTCGCTGGGGCCGCCGCCACGACGCGCTAAACAGAAGTTGCGTACGTTTGTGCAGTTCTCTTCTTCCTTTCAAGGCGACGGGGTCATCCTCGACCTCGTGGGGCGCGGCGCGTTGTCACGGCATGTCCCCGAAGTCGAAGACGCCTTCGGCGGGGTGGCGGCGCCAGAGCCAGGGCGGCATGGCGCGCGTCAGCAGGTTCCTGAGCCCGGGCGGGGGGAACGTCCGGCGGACCAGGACGGTAAGGCTTGAGGTTGCGCACAGACGGCCCCTCCGAGCAGTCCCAGCTGGCCTCCGCAGGCTCCCCGATTAGGCTCGGGCTGTCTCAACACCTTGGCGCCGCCTCTGGCGGCGCCCCTAGGGCGCTCCGCGCCCCAGAGTTGAGGTGCTGATGCCACCCTGGGCTATTGGGGGGGTCTGTTGAGGCCAGCGGGGGCTACCTGGGGGGATTGTCTGCATGCAACCCGAAGCCTTACCCAACGAGGACTAATGCCTTCGCCGACGCGAAAAACCTCGAGGATGCCGCCGAGAGGGTGGCCTGGCACGGCGAGTACGACGTCGCGGAGCTGTACCACACCGAGGGGGCGGCCCAGTGGCTTGCGCGGCATCCTGTCTTCACCGCCGCGCAGTTGATCGTAGTGATTTTGAATGTCGTCTGGATAGGGATTGAGACAGACTACAATCACAAGGAGGTGCTGTACGAGGCCGATTTGGGCTTCCAGCTGGTGGAGAACCTGTTCTGCATCTTCTTCCTGTGGGAGTGGATCGTCCGGCTCTGCGCATTCAGAAGTAAAGTTCAGTGCGTTGGCGATTTTTGGTTTGTATTCGATTCGGCTCTTCTTGGAACGATGGTGCTCGAGACGTGGGTTTTGTTCTTTGTTTCCGCGGTGTCTCGCGGCGGCGGGTCTACCGGTTATCCAACGGACCTCCTGCGGATGGTGAAGCTCGCACGGCTCACGCGCTCGGTACGTGTCGCGCGGGTTCTTCGTAGCGTCCCCGAGTTGGCCGTGATCATGCGAGGGATCATGGTCGTCATGCGGACTGTATTTCTCATCTTGATGCTCTTGACCAGCCTCCTTTACGTATTTGGCATAATATTCGTGCAGATCGCGAGGGACACAGAGCTGAACGAGAACGGGGAATACAAAGATGTTCCGTCGGCCATGATGACGCTAGTTCTAGGAGGCCTCATCCCCGATATGGCGCCCACGACGTATGCCATCGCAGGGGAGAGTTGGCTTTTCGCAGCGATGTTCCTAATCTTTGTCTTCTTGGGCTGCATCACTATCTAGTGGCCTTCGGCCCATCCTGCCACAAGTGTAGGTCAGCGGTCTCTTGGATGCCTGTGGGGATTTCTTGGGAGGCATCTCTGGAACTTCTTGGGGGCGGTTTCGAGGGTGTCTTGGGGCTCTCGGGGGCCTCTCGGTGATCTGGGTTTCTTTGGGGCCTCCTCCGGTTGCCCCTTGAGGGCCTGCGGGTCCTCTTAGGGCGGATGGCTCGAATTACTGATTCGTGTTCCCCTTCTTGGGCCCCTCTTGGGGCCCTCTTGGGCCGCCTTGTGGGCATCTTGGGCCGTCATTGGCCCGTCTTGGGCAGTCGGGGCGCTCTCTTGGGTGCCTCTTGGGTCGCCCTGGGGCGACCTTGAAGGCCTGTTCGGCCGCCTTGGAGCGTCGGGAAATCGACACGGCGAGAACTCGAGAAGAACCGGAGTGACATATATGATTTGGGAATCTCGGGGCCCTCACGGGAGGGGACCTCTTCCAGCCATCCAGGGAGGCTTGGAGCGATCTGTGGGCGACCCGTGGCCCTCTTGGAACGTCTTTGGGGCCTCTTGGGGCATCTTGTCCCTGGTCAGGGCCCTCTTGCCTCCAGACAAGTCTGGCGAGAACACGCGACCACACACGCTGCGCCCCAGGAGCTTTGGGCCCTGGGGGCACTTTCACTTGTACCTCAGGGTACGTTGGCGGATCATGAATATGCTAATCGGCGTGTTAGTGCAAGTTGTTGGAGTCGTCGCCACAGTGGAAGCGGAGACGAACCAGCTCGCCGAGGTGAAGAGCGTTCTCTTGGATAACCCACTTGACCTGAAAGAGCATGATTTTGTCACGGCGCAGCAGATCAAACTCCTCCTGAAAGACGAGGATATCGACGAAGGCCTTCGCAATCTTAGTATCGACACGGATGACTTGCTGAACCACAGTCAGATTGTCTTCTGGGGCAAATCGAACATCAGAATGTACGACCTTTGGCAGCTCGCTGTGCAGCACCGGGGTAGTAACGTTGCAAAGGTGAAAGACCTTGTAAATTTCAGGCAGTTCTTATACGCAGAGCTAACCGACCTCAGTAGCGCGGTCGCGCAGCTGCATGCGGCCAACGCGCGGCGACCATCAACTGCCGCAATAAGCCTGACGCCCACTCTTCCTTGAGTAACCGCGGCTTCCCCTGCGAAGCAGGAGGGGCGCGCAAGAGTGTATGTTCCCAGGTCCCGTAGGCTGATGAAGACATGTCTCCCCCCTGGAGATGCGGCGAGGCTGTCAGAGTCGTGCTCATAGGCCTCCTTGCGGAATTCGGAACTTAACTAAGCGTACTGTGTCTTGCTCAGAACACGTTTCAAGAGTTCTGGCTATTTTGCTTTGCGATTTTCCGCGTTGGAATCTGGATGCCAGTCTGGCATGAGACGCTCAATTTGCCTGTAGCGTAACCTTTCTGCTGAAACGCTGACGATACGCGTGAAGTCCAATGTGCGTGTAAATCGATGTGTGTGGAATATTTTCTGTGTGGAGCACGACTTGTGTATTATATGCGCTTCGCGTATCCCCATCAGTCCATCTATAAACGGTCGATTTGTCTGGGTCAGGGTGGTGTATGGTCACGCAGTGGAACAGAGAACTGCGTCAGCCGTTACATCGAAGCTCGGAATCAGCTTAAGCATTCTACGGTGTGCACTTTCTGACCCTGTCGTCGAAGGAGGAGGAGGAGGATGCAACGGAAACACATGACAAGGAGGAGAAGGAGGCGGAACAGGGGATGAAGGAGGAGGAGGAGGAGGAGGAGGAGGAGAAGGACGAGGACGAGGATGAGGAGGAGCAGGAGTGAGAGGAGGATGGAGGAAAGGGGCGACGATAATGACATTGACGAGGTCGACGACGACGACGACGACGACGACGACGGTGACGGTGGCGGCGGCGGCGACGACAGGAGTCAACCATGAACGCATTCGTGGATCTTTCGCTCGAGGATCCTCTTGGAAGCCTCTTGGAGCCTTCTGGTAGCCCTCAGGGAGCTATTTTGGGAGCCTTCGCGCTTCTCTTGGGGGCTTCTTGGCGCCCTCATGGGTCCACGTTGGAGGGCATCGATCAAAGAAGATGGGTTGGGGTCCTCTTATGGCGCTCCTGGGCGCTCTTGGGGCCGTCGTGGGCCTCTTCTGGTCTCCTCAGAGTGCTCTCTTGGGCGATCCTGGGACCATGGATACCCATCGGAAGCGAAGCGGCGAGGCGGCAACCAGGACCGAAAAGCCAACGTTTTCGGCTGATCCTGCCCCTGTGGGGTCTCCTATGGGAAGGCTGCCTGGCCACTTGGAGCCGTCTGCGGGTGGTCTTGGGGCATATCGGAGGCATGTTGGAGATCATCCTGAGCTATCTCGTTACGGCGGCGAGCGAGGGGGGAAACTGAGAATGAGAAAGCCTTCTGAGAAGGTTCGCAAGTCCCCCGACCTTCTGATAGCTTTTCTAAGCCTTCCCCGAAGGCAGAAACACTTCTCAGAAGGCGCGAGGGCTTCTGAGAGGTCCCGCCGCCTTCTGAGGAGGCCTTCCCCCGCCTTCTCACTTCCCCCCCCTCGCTCGCCGTCGACCGCTGCAGGCTCTTGCGCACCGGGCCCCCGCCCGTCCAGATCCAGGGGTGGGGGTGGAGGGTGGGGGGGGGGGGGACCGCCCCGGCGACCCCCTCGGCGCTGCTGGGGAGGCAGGCCGCGGCCCCGAGGTCCGACGCTGCGAGTGGGGGGCACAGCCTCCTCCTCCTCCTCCTCCTCCTCCTCCTGCTCCTCCTCCTCCTCCTCCTCCTCCTCCTCCTCCTCCTCCTCCTCCTCCTCCTCCCCTCCTGGGACCCTGGGGCACGGCCTCGGCCTCGGCCACGGCGGGGGCCAGGGCCGCTCCCCCCCTCCTATATAGGAACACCCCTTCCTATCCGCATGTGGGGCCACCCCGCAGGACCCACCGGGACCCTCGGGGGGTGGTCACTTGATCCGCCTAACCCCCGCACCTTCCCCCCCTGCCCCCCGCCCTACCCCCCCTTCCCCCTCTCCGTCGGGGAAGGAACATCGGGACGAACATCTTCGACCGTTTTTTTTTTGTACGTTTTCAATTTTCTTTGGACTGGCGACGACGACGATGACGACGGTGATGGCGACGACGACGACGATGACGACGACAGCGTCTCACACACGCCGAAGGGTCGGCGTATTTTTCATTGGGAGTTGACAGGGATGGTTGGTCTGCGCGCGGCAAGCAACATGAGCCTCCCCTGCCGTCCCTGTCAAACCCAATGCGCAGTGGTCGCGGGGCGTTCGCGCATGATCCAGAGTTGGAGGCAGAGTGCATTTTGTATTTTTTTGACAGGGGTGGTTGGTCTGCGCGCAGCAAGCAATATGCGCCCCCCCCACTGTCCCTGTGAAGAACCAATGCAAAGTGGTCGCGGGCCGCCCGCGCATGCTCCAGATTTGGAAGGCAAAGTGTTATTATTTGTCCTTGGACATGGGTGGTTGGAGGGTGGTGGCATGGGTCCGGGTGGGTGGTAGCCGGTCGCCTGCGGGAGGGTGTGTTTCTTAATAGTGAGCAGGTGTCAACCCTTCTCTGAAGGAGAAACATCAATTTCTGAACGCTTCGCGTATCCCCACCAGGGTGGTTCATCCTTTGGCAGTGCTTATCGGCCCTCCCGCTGGGCGGTCCGTGGTGCTCGACCAGTGCTTGCAGCTGATTCCCCCCGGCTTTCTGAGTCAGGCAGTTGCAGTTTGTGGACTCGGAAGACAGGGCCGACGTTCCTTGCATAGGTCGGTCGCTCATGCCCGAGTACTTCCAGGAGTCCATGTGAGTGAGGCGTTCCTCGGTCCCCCCCTCTTCTGTCCTCGCGCTCCCTCGCCCCTGCCGCCTTTCCCCGCGCCTTCGCCTCCTAGTCGTGTTGGACGGTACTGCCTCACTGGCCCCTCCGTGCTGCCACAGCGCGGCGTGTCCCACGCCCTTACGCGCTGGTCAGTACGGATTGAGCTGGCGCCACTGTGCGACTGCTCCTCCGTCCGTTTCTGATGCCTGCGTCCCCGCTTCCGGGTTGCCTGCATCTTAATGGGCGGCATTTTGTCCTTGGCACGTGCACTAGCTGCGTCTGCCTATGCGCCGTCGCCGCTAATTATCTCGCCCTGTGCCCCAGCCGAGAACGCCCCGTTTCCTGGAGCCGTCCTTGAAGCCGCCAATCAAAAAGTATCCCCACCAGCGACGCCAGACGGCTCCCGGTAGCCGCAAGGTGGACCCGCGCGGGTTCCCACCTCGCTGCCACCCAAGCGGGCGACCCGTGTGCTGGGGGGCTCCTCCCCAGACGCGGGTGGTTCCCCTGCCCGCGCCCCTCCAGGCAGCCATCCGCGCAATGGGCCATGAGGTTCTGTCCCACATGCAACTCCCACACGCTCCTCCTCTCTGCAACGCACGACCTGGAGCAGGGGGACGAAGTTGCCATGGATCGCGCCCCTTTCCCTTCCGTCGATGCCGCCGGTTGGCCCTATAAGATCACATTTGACGGCGGCGCCCGTTCAGCGAACGGCGACCAGCGAGTCGCTGGTGCCTGGTTCCTCCCCTGGCACCACAACCCCCAGCACGCTGCCCCGCAGCTCGTGCCAATTGCAATCCTTGCCTTGCCGGGCTGCGACGACGCCCAGACGGCTGAGGCTGCAGGCTGCAGACCAGGCTTTGCCCTACTTCCCCACGTCCCGGGTCCGGTTCGGGCCGCCAGGGTCGTTGGTGACAACTTTGCCGCCACCCGCTACGGCGCAGGTACGGGCAGGTATCATAGACTACACCTGGGTCAACAGATGGACCTGGCCCTTCGGCAAGCCAGCCAGGCCTGCTGGACTCCCATGTGACAAGCTGTCCGCAGACGGCTCAACCAAGCCGCCGACCGCATCGCCACTATCGGTGTCTACTGGGCGGCAGCTCTTCGGAGGGGAGGCAGCGATCGGCTCAATTCCTACACCGTCTGGCTCAACCTCCCCTCTCGTCCTCCACCTCTCTTCTCCGTTTCTGTCGACCTCTTCGAGTTCGATGCCGTCGCTGCCGCTGTCGAGCAGCTGGGGCCATCGGGCCGCGCGCGCCCTGATGCCCGCTACCCGGGACGCTTAGGTGCTGGCTACCCTCCAAGCGCGGCGCCATTGGCGGCAGGAACAACAACGGGCCAGTGGCCCGCTGGCCTAGTTGCTACAAGTGTGTACCCGATCCCCCTTTGGCCGAAGGCTCCACCGAAGTTTGCCTCTTTGTGGCCAGGCTCCGTCCCTGGTTTCGTTGGGTCTACTTCAACGGACACTGGTGCTTCTTCTGTGAGCCCTGTCGGAAATATCTATACGGGAAGGGCCACTTCTCCGACGCTTCCCATCTAGGCGAGCTTATACGGACGTGGGCAGGCGGATGGCCCGACCCCGAAACGTACACTGCTGTGGACAATATGCGGACCGCATGCAAGGAGGAAACTACGACAAAGTCTCGGGGGGCTGCCGTCCTTGTGGGGCTGCGATTTGCTGAATTGTCGTCGCTTTCGAGGGCTGCTGGTGGGTCCTGCGGACTGAGGCGCCGCGGGGATATGAGCGGGACCTCCCCGTCCCTGGGGGCTGCGATCTGCGCAATTGTCGTCATTTTCGAGGGCTGCTGGTGGGTCCAGCGGGGTGAGGCACCGCGCAGACCTGAGCGGGACCTCGCCGTCCCTGGGGGGCTGCGGTTTGG